AAACTAATATTACCCAAAACATTATACTCACTTTCTACATCTAAAACAGAGATTGCCTTCTATGCAGAAGTATATAACACGAAAAATAAGTTAAAACAAGGTTGAAATACCATACCTGTGTTATGGCCAAGTCTTTCGTTGGAGTGCTGCGTAAGGTCAATCGTCCTGTCAATTTGAAAGATTTTTAAGTCTTCATCATCTAAGGCAATATCTCCCCAAAAGACAGCTTTAAATAAAAAAGAGCTCCATTTAATTAAAGAATTTATTTAGACATTAAAACCAATCTGAAGACTATAATGCCATGTTACAACCCTTGGGAAAATATATGACAAACATATATATCACATATATTTGCTTACTGATCTATATTTTCATACAAAGAAAGAAAACTACCTAGCAAAAGGCAAATAATTTGAATCAATATTCTCCTAAACTCTTGCAACCTTTTTGATTTCTTTACACATTGCCTAAATGCAATCATTTAAATGTAAAGTCAATCTATTAACAAATTTTCAGCATATGTTGTGTTTTCTGTAGGTAAATACAACAAAGGACAAAAGACACTGAAACATGTTAACCTCTGAACTCTGAAGTCAAAAACATACATTACTGAGAAAATACAACCTTTATATATCCTAACATCTCCCTGAAAATGAGAATTATTTGAAGTAATTTTTATTATATTCCAATTGCTTTCTATAATACATTATATTTGCCTCAGAAGTAATATGTTTATCTGCTTTCCATTAAACTGAGTGAAAAAAACCCTTTATTTTTCATTTTCCTCTTGGTTTATTCGTATGCTTTCCTTTTACAACTAACCTCACTATTACAATTCTTTCAGATACCTTGCTTTTCAAAGCCCCAGTTGCTTTTTCTTCTTTTTAACCTTTCTTTGGCCTTTTTGGTGCATTTCTTCTTCTTTCTTTTCCTGTTCTCTTTCCAGCTCTCCCAGGTTTTTTCTATTTGACTTTTGTATAGCTAACTCATCTTCCCTAAGCTGCCATCACAACTCAATGAACCAAGATATAGGGCAACTTGCAAGAATTCGGGATCTTTAACCTCGGTCTTTCATCTCTGCCTGTTTTTGCTGAGATTGAATCCTGAGATCTCCCTGCCAACTCAAACTTATGATTAACACTGAACTCAACAGGCCATATCCTCAACTGCTGTGAGTGAAGTCAACAGAGCATATACCAATTAACATGAGCTGAAGTGGTTGTTTATTATCTTTTTCCAAATTTTTCATTTTCCCTCTCTTCACTGCCTCTGTCAATAGCTCTAGTATTTGTCCCCTCAAAGTCACAAAACCCCTGGGTTCAATCTTGGTGTCATCTTCAACTCTTTCTCCTCTTTGCCCCATCCAAGAAGACATCATTAACTCTGCTTGGTTGCTCGTTATACAGTTCCACAGCAAATTGCTTTCTTTGTTTCTATACAACTAAAACTTCATCCAAAGTCCAGCTGGTACAAAATCATTCTCTCTGGTCTACTTCCATTCAGACTGATGCTAAACATTATTGTTAACTAGTGCTCTTTTTCTCTCTGTTCTTTATATCATGTTGTAGAAACCATTCATCAGATAATATCCTCAGTAGTTTCATGTTGCTGCAAATTTTTTCTTATTTATTGATTCTCACATTCATTAGTATTTAATCACATCTATACCAAAAATAGTCGTTACTTAAGCAAAAAGATATGTATTGCTGAAGAAGTCCCAAATATAACATTACTTCCTCCTATCTCCATCATTTTTCTTGAACACAAGGCAACTAGGAGAAATCACATTGAAAATGTCTTTGGTCTGCCTTGTAAAATACCTTAAAAAAAAAAATAGATCACCCATGCAGAGCTCCAAAATGAAACTGAAACTTTTTAATTAAAATCACAACCAACATCTCATGTCTTGCCTAAATATGGATACTTCCACGCACATAATTTTTACACAAAAAGATAACGTTTCTTAGAAACCACAAGTATGTGAGACCATTTCCGAAACTGTTCAGTCACTTCTAACAAGTTTCTTAACTGTCTCCTTCCAAGGGTCGCTATCTCCTTATGTTCCCATTGAACACATTGGGGACATCTTTCCTCTGGCTAGCCTGCTCTCACCAGCAATGTTTTTTTACCACTGGGTCAGAAGACAGAGCTACCGGCAGCTCTAGGTGGTTTTTTCCCCTAAGCTTGTAGGAAAAAGATCTCCAATTGTCAGGGTTTTGAACAGTGAGGGGACAAGTCAGTAGTCTCCATCTGACTCAAGTTAGATATTATTTATTACTGCTATTATAGAGACCTCCAGAGATTTCTCTTGGATGCCATTCACAACAGGGGCCATTGTATAAGCACTATGAAAGACTGCAAACTTTAATAAACGTAACAGAAAATGATAAGAGGAAGAAACTGCTAACATTTCGGTCTACAAAGAAAGGATGTGCCCCAGCAGAGGTCACACAAGTTGTCTACACCAGACTCAAGGAAGAGCTAAATCTTAACAGCAACCCCATTTTTCTTTCCTCTTAATACTGAGGCTTAAAAGGAAGGTTCTGAATTAGCAATAGATGATGCAAAACATAACTCACTGACAGAAATGCATTAGCAGAAATCATTTTGGTTTCAGCGTGTAATACTGATGTACAAATATGAAAACCCAAGGCAAGCTGAACTTCAGAAAATGGTGGAAAGTAGAAGCAGAAAAAGTAGAAAAAAAAATGGTGGAAAATTTCCTGCCTAGTCTTGATGCTGCATCTTTATCACTTCAGTGTGGTAACATTCACTTTGCCATGAAAATACAAACAGCAAAGACTAAACCCCGTGAGTGCCTGACATAAATGCATTGAATTGACATGCACATTTATAAAATATACCTCAGTGTTCAGACAAGGTATAGTAACTTTGTCTGTTGGGCTAGAAAGGAAAACAAAGCTATGTTATTTTTATTAAGCATCTGGACTGCTAGCTAGTTTTTGATTAGTAACCCAGCACAAGGTTAAGTTTAACAATGATATAACCATGGTAATATAACCATAAGTGCTGAGGCAAGTTTGACGTAATTGTAAACAAGTAATCTGTGCAACAGAGAGGAGCTAGGCTCTCTAACAGATTAATTAAATATGAGTTAACACTGAAGAAAGAAATATATATGATTCTTTATTTAAAAGTATAATGGAAAGTTTGGAGCTTTTTTCAGGCAGCTGTGTTTCTGACAAAAGGCAATTCTGTTTTGTAGAAACAGACAAACAGATAAAGACAAACATGATGAAAGGCAGAAACCTGGACAGAATTAACTCATTTGTCTTTAGCAACAATTTAATAATTTCCACTTTACTTTTACTGAAATAAACCTGTGATTTTATGAATTAATTTCAGTGCAGCTGAGAAGATATATACCTAGCAAAGAAACAACAGTTAAGTAGATGCTATCAAATTTCAATATAGTCCAAACAATCAGCAACTGAGACAAAAAGGGACCTGATAACTGTTTTTTTTAAAAATACACTTTTTTTTTTTTCAGTGGAAGTTCTGCATTGAATACAAATTCTGCCCTTCAAAGCCTGAAGCACAACCCCACTCGCATTATCCAAAATAATAAAACCACAGTGGGTATCTCCCACAACTATTAAAAGTAATTTTTTGGAATGCCTGTGTAAGTGTCAAACTACTTTGTAACCAGAGAAGACCGTATTTTTATCTTCTGCCATAAAATTTTTATGGCCTGAAACTATCTGAAGAAGTCACTCTGTATACCTCATCATGTCACACAGCAATCTTAACCTTACAGAAAGCAAGCAAAGGATTGTTTGGGTATGCAAGACATCGTGTTTAAGACTTTGCTAAGGGCATGTTTGGATTAAGAGCTTTCTTTGCTCCCTCTAAGGAACTTCTGACAGCACCAACCTGTTCAGCTCTGCACCTCTCTCGTTTTTCACAGATATTCAATTCATAAGTTTCATCCCAAAAATTAACAAGAATATTAAAATCAATTAGATTACCAAGAAAAAAAAAAAAAAAAAGAAAAAAGTGTGGAAGAATTTTCGAAATGATCCAAACAGAACTTTAAGGTACCTATACTTATTCCAGGTTGCTTCATATTATCTCTTATCATCTCTATCTACTCAGTGATCAGGAAAATTTGGTGTTTACAGGCAGCTTTTTCACTTGATTTGAAAATGCAACATTGATCATAAACTTAAGAAAAATCTGTTGAAAATGCGAGGCAGCATTAATTACAGGGGAAAGTATTTCAAGTATCTTTTATTACATAGAGATTCTTAACAAAAAAGAAAATTTATCTTTTTGTCCAATACTTGATAAAGAGATATATACCCTGTTATACCAAATTTCATGCAACTTTTTTTTATTGTGGGGGATTTTATGTTTTATACGGCCACTAGTTTATGTATTTACACAAATTAAGAGACAACACATGCATCAATTTCAGAAAGGTGTACACAAACTGAATATGCAGTAAAAGCGTGTTTGTCTGTAAAAGTGGAGGAGGATTAATGCGGAGCTGTTAAAACAGAAAATACTCTTCACCCACAGATGCAGTTCTGCTTTCACACAGTTCAAAGCCCTCAGCTGAACATCACCTTCAGAAAGGTATTATTTTATGAAAAGACAAAACACTGCCATGTAAAGTAGCTAAGTTTGCTACATGTAAATAATCAGCTCACAAGCATGAAAATGAACAGAAAAATAAGTAGGTTCATAGAATCATAGCATCATTAAGGTTGGAAAAGACCTCTAAGATTGTCAGGTCCAACCGTCAACCCAACACCACCATGCCTGCTAAGGCTGTAAAAGATATCTGCTATCCAGAGAAACACACCTTAATATTACCACACAAGAAATGTGGTTGCAAAGGAGAAATAAGATGATCTATAAAATACAGATCAAGCACAGGAACTACAGCTACATTCTACTAGTTCTAACAGGAACTATTATTTTGTCATAAATAATTAAGGTTCATCTGCAAAGCTCTCTTTGCTAATCTACTCTCTTTCAGCAAGACCATCACCGCATCAAATATCCAGTATTCTAAAGGCATCAAACATACTACTCAGGATAGGAAATAAATATAAATAAATAAATATTTTTTAAAAAAGAGATTAGAACTATTTTATGTATATGGGTGTACGCACACAGTGTGAACCAATCAGCATACACCGTTAGGACAAAAAAGGCTTTCATGACTTTCTGGAAGGTGGTTGGAAGTCCATAGCAGAG